TTCTCATTAGAATGTTATATACACGACATTCCCAATCATAGTTATTAATGTTGTGCACTGCTGTTTGAGTTTATCACCGGTAAACTGAAGCGCTCTTTTAACTTAACCAAAAGCATTCTATGTGAGATAAATCAGATATACATCAAATAAACACAATATTACAACGTACAATTGCACAAAAGGCCGCAAACAAACAGCGCGCGTCTGAAGTGTCTCTGAAGGAAATAATGCATTATTTATCGGCTTAAAGATATCGGCCAAATTTTCTTATCGGGCCGATACCGATAACAGAAAAAATGAGCATTTATCGGCCGATACCGATATGGTGGCTGATATATCGTGCATCCCTAATAAAGATCTTTGTTTTCCTACCTCCACGAGTGCCATTTATTATTGCCTTGTTTATCTAAAAGTGCTCTTTTCCTTTAAAACTAGCCAACAAGCCATATGTGTTGACTGTGAAACACAGTAGAATTTAATTATATGCATTTATGGTGTAATTACTACACTTTCGTTTTCATATTTACCGCAAACAATGCACTGTTACCTTAATTCAGCGCTTGCAGTGCAGCAATAGACTCGGTGTGGAAACGATCTCTCCACAGCTGCAGATGCACCGCTCCTGAACGCACTGCCGGACCGCAACCCCAGTGGGAAAGCTTGAATCCATTAACATGAGCGAGGAAAAATACGCACCGCATACGCACTGCAAACGGAGTATGTGTGAACCTGGCATTATGTGTGTGCGCTGAGAGTGTGCATGAGCGCTGAATTGTTTAAACACTGGCAAGAATTAAAAAGTAATGCAATTTATAAACTTCAGTGACGATGCAGCACTAACTTTTTACATTTTGTACAAAAAAATAAAATAAAATCGTGAATCGAACCGTGAAATCAAAATCGTGATTCGAATCAAATCGTGAGTTGAGTGAATCGAACCATCCCTACCATTGACATATTGGTAGATTTAATTAATTAGTAGATTTAACCAATGATTGATACTTAAAGTTGGTGTGATATAAAAATTCACATTATTTAATAAATGCATGTTAAAGATCATATTTTGAATGATTCATCCATGTATGTTTACATTTTTTTTGTTTGTTTAAATTGACTTCATAATCATAATGTCATAACTTGATCTTCCAGTAAAAATGACTGACTCTTTGGTTATGTATACCAGACTTCTCCAATGATTTAGTCTGCTTAAACTCCGCCTCTCTACAATCACCCACATCTCAAAATCCAATCAACAACCTCTGAATAGAACCAAATTCCCGGCCCACACTTTTTTTCCTTTTTGGGTAATCTGTTACACTCAGAGTTACGTCACAGTATGGAATAAAATATCTGCTGTTACTTCCGTTTCATCGCGTCTAACTTGAAAATCCAAAAAGTCATGAATAACATTATGTTCTTGGCAATAGTTAAAGATAAGGTCAGGCAGATGTGGAAGTAACTTAGTGCTGAGAAATCTTGGAGAGAATAGGCTGCCGGGTCCTAACATTTATAGAAAATGAATCATATTCCACGGAACCAGTCTGTGCAGCACAGCATGCTGTTTCCCCTCTCAGCAAGACTTCAGCAGAACTGCAGATGTGCATCCTTAATGCGTACAGTTCTCGGCATGCGATTGTGTGAGTGAGGCGCATGTTGTTGGTCTGACAGTGGGAGCGGCTCTGCGTTTGACACGGTACTGTGCGTTTGACTTTAGCTTCGTTCTTTGTGCGAGTTTATGCTGGTGTATGTTCGTCGATGTTTGTGGGGGGGGGGGGTTGTTTAGTGTGTTCCTCCAAGAGGCTTTGGAACAATAGTCCCATTCTGTGACTCTCCCTAGCTGCTGCCCGGGCCTGGCCGAGCGCTTGCCAGAACAGACAGACAGATGGAAGGGATCGTGTTCCTGCCGGCACCTGGCATCACAGAGCACAGGAATGCTATTGTTCCTTGGTAACCCAGCGGCCGACGCGCTTTCCTGGACAGGCAATGTCGAAACGAGGGTGGAACTGAATTATAAATCACATGACGCAATAAATAACAGTTGTTCAACAAGTGCCGTTGACTGTCATTGGCGACGTCTGACATGAGAGTTTAGGAGAGTGATGGTTTATGAAGGAAAGCTTAAGACTGTTGTCCAGGGTCA